AGTTTTGGGTGGACCCCTTTAAACTGGCAAAGTTTCATTGAAATCAGTGAGATGGCTTGTGCCACCCCCGCCTGGTCCTATCGTGGATGCACTCTTAAATGTCCATACCACTGGCCATCATGTTTATAGAATCAGAATTGTGATCGCTGTTAAAATTTGAATCTTCCAGATTAAATGTGGGGCTACTTTTTCTACCTAACTGACTCAGTCGAGATCTGTCTGCCTGCACCTGAACAGTTTTATCATCAGGTGTGTCGGACTGCTCCCTCTCTCACCTCGGTTTGTTGCTTTTTTTTATTTTTATTAAAAACAAAAAACAAAAACATAATCAGCTATGTATCGTTGTGTCACTGGAACACAGCAACAGTAAAACTGACTGTTTCACCCTGTGCAGGCACATTGCTGTGTTGTTATTATAACATAAATTATAACATTATATTACGCTATATTATATATATATATCAGGTAAATCCCATTAATTTATCAGATTAGGAAACACACATCTCTCGCAGACCACATATAATGACGTGACGGGTCCGCGGGCCTTGAGTTTGACATATGTGCTCTAGGTGATGGAGAGTTCATTTCAGGCATAGAACCCCTGTTGCCGTGTCATGGGAATATCCTTAGCTTTGTTACACTCCATTCATCAATGCTACAGCAATTACACGGTATACCTTCAGAATAGGTTGTCACCATGTTGTCAGGGTTAAAGTCCCTCTCCCATCATCAGATAAACCCCTAAAAACTCGTCTTTGTGTATCAAAGTCATATATTTAGAGTTCCCCCCAGTGAGACACTACAAAAAGGCACAATGTAAAGGTAAAGGTGTATCAAGGGCATACTGGGAAATATATCAGAATAACGGACCATACATACGTACGAGATTAATGCCTGTCATATTGGTCAACACATGTCATGGTAATCCTGCAGACTTGTTCTTCCTAGGCTTGAAACAAGCTGAAACTTAAGTGAAAAGTCGGACTCATCTGCTATTTCGTTTGGGGATCTAAAATTATTCATATTCTTAGTGCTGGTAAAAAAAAAAAAAGTAAACGAACCCTTGAATTTAGTGCCTGAGTTTAGTTGTAAAATTTTCTCCTCAAACGTCCATTGCGGTCACGTGGGTTTGAGTTTGGATGCAGTTTGATTTAGGTTATACTAAAGGAAAACACATGTCGACGGCGAAAAGATATATCGACACAGGTTGTATGCTAACTTAGCAGCACTTGCTAATTCTTCTCAGTGCACTTAACCACAGCTGAAACACTTAGAAGCGACACTGTAGCCGTCTAAAAATATCCTGTATGATTGCAAATCGACACACTGAACTTGAGAATAATGTTTTACAACATATTATTTTATTTGCTTACATCGGACAGTAACCTGACTGTACTAACTGAACCAAAAAGGTAATACCCGCAAATACAACCGCTTCACCTCACTACATGTTAAACCTGTGTGGCTGGAACTGTGGCTAAATCTTCTATTTAATCAGCAAACAGCAGTAAACACTTACATGTGCAGTGCGTCTTTACAAGGACAGCGGACAGCTGCAGTTACATGGTGGTGTCCGTAAAGTGATGTAACTGTCGTAATATTGTTTTACGACAGCTTTTCTTCTTCTCTTCTTCTGCAGTTCATCAGATGTCAATGGTTCCCTTCGGTTGTTAAATATTATTTCTTATATATATATATATATATATATATATATATAATTAAATTAAATTATAATTTAGTGAAATAAGACATTGCTTTTGTAGGGAGCCCGTCTGGTGACATCGATAAGAAATAAAAAATAACTCGTTCCCACGCATTAGTAAATCGTGGCCAAAGGTAATTAATGCGTGGGAACGACATAGTTAAGTCGTGGCCACGCATTACTAATATGAAGAAATAAGAGAAGTTCACAGTGCGGTCATACCAGCTGTCGATTAAGGATAACGGGCGTACTTGCATGAAACATGGAGCATTTTGATTTCATTTCATTTTATTTTAACCTTGGAATGAACTATACCGATATCCTGCGACCTCTTGAGATGAAACACCGTGTGATAATTATGTCATTCCCACGCATTAATATCTCGTGGCCACGACGTAAGTATATCGTTCCCACGCATTAATATCTCGTGGCCACGACTTAACTATATGGTTCCCACGCATTAATAACTCGTGGCCACGAGATATTAATGCGTGGGAACGAGTTGTTTTTATTTCTTATCGATGTCACCAGACGGGTTGAAAAAGAATACTGTAAAATAAATAAATAAATAAAAAACTGTCCTAGACAAATTAGAACACTTTGCTGATGAGCAGTGGGCCAAAACCAAAATACCTGTCAACAGGTGCAAAAGTCTGATTGAGTGTTACAGAAAACACTTGATTGCAGTGATTGCCTCAAAGGGTTGATCAACAAAATATTAGTTTACGGGCCCCATCATGCTTGTTTTTTTGTAAAAATAAATAAATAAATAAATAAATAAATAAAAATCGTTTGAACCACAGCTCAAAGGCAATGTCATGATTTTTATTACATTTTTCTTTATTATTACTTTTGTCAATTTCCACTTTTTTCAGTGACAGCTGTTTTTTTCCGTTTTTTAGTGGGAGGGTATGAATACATTTGAGAACGACTGTATGTGTGTGTGTGTGTGTGTGTGTGTGTGTAATGATCATAGAGTTTCAATGTAAATGAGTCTGATAGACATTTCTTATTAAAACACCATAAAGTAATGATCCATATAAAAACAGAAATACCTGTAGAGCAGCACTAAGTTATACCTGCCACCAGAGGCACTTGGGAAAGCAGGGAAGATGTTAAAAATGTTAAAGCAGCTTTCTTCTGTGACGTGAGTGTGATTTTTGTGTTGAATGGATGCAACTGTTCATCATATAAACCAAATGTCAGTTACAATCAGGTAGCGTAACTAATAAACACTGCAAGAAGCCATCATGCAATAGTATAAGTTAGCAGAAAACACCTGTGAAATATAATTTACATGAAAAGATTATGCTTTATATTTCTCTGTATTTTTCACTATGCTTTATTGTTTTTCAGATATGCCAGCGTAAACCCTGCAAGTTGCAACATTCAAAAGTATGAATGTAGAAATGACAACAGCTTTAATAAGGCAACTAAGGCTCAACAGAGAAGAATCATTTGGAATGCTTACACATCCATCCATCCATTTTCTATACACCGCTTAATCCTCATTGGGGTCGCGGGGGGGCTGGAGCCTATCCCAGCCGACTTAGGGTGAAGGCAGGGGACACCCTGGACAGGTCGCCAATCCATCGCAGGGCCACACTTAGAGACAGACAACCAAGCACACTCGCAGTCACACCTACGGACAATTTAGAATCACCAATTAACCTCAACATGTTTTTGGACTGTGTGGGAGGAAGCCGGAGAACCCGGAGAGAACCCACGCTGCACAGGGAGAACATGCAAACTCCACGCAGAAAGATTCCGGTGCCCCCACCAGGACGCGAACCGGCAACCTTCTTGCTGCGAGGCAACAGTGCTACCAACTGTGCCACCTTGCAGCCCAATGCTTACACAGCATAACACTAATTTCTTAGCAAACCTAAAACATTTGAAAGAAAAGTAAAGGCACTTATCAAAACCTTAACAAAACGTTATCAAAACCTTATCTGCATAGCATTATACATACTGCTGGTACCTTGTGCAAAATAAAGAAACATAATGCAATAACAGTGAGCAAAGGAGGCAACTTACTTCAACTGAGTAAACCATTTGGTCCCCAAGGTGCCCATCTGCACATGTGACAAGCCCCCAGCAACTAAGATTTATCAATACATTGAAGGCACGTGTGGCCATCATTGAATTCTTTTGATCTACTTGAATGAGCCAGACAGTAAATATGATTGTTCCTCACACAGTAAATACACTGACTATGTGTGACCTTAATCTATGCATTTTCCTGTTCTTTTGACCATTTGATAAACAAAAATGTCTGTTATGCTATAAATTATAAATGAACTATAAATTAAGAAAACTGCATAGCACATTTATTTTATTTTTTTTAAAATCAAATTCTTAACATTTGAGAGTTAATGGTTTTCTTTTGACATTCGGTCAGACCTCAATAGAGCTGTTGTATATAATATTGTAGTGTTTTTTTTATTACGAACTGTATGTGTGTAATGTGTTTCGTGTGCTGAGTGATTATAAATGGCTGAAAAGAAGTTCCAGGTGAGGCAGGCAGTTCTCTTACCTCATGGCAGGGGGCGCTCTGATCCCAGACATTCTTCTTGTGACTCCGTGGCTGCAGAGTAAGTGACAGCAAGCTAGACTAGGTATTTTTTTTAATTTTATTAACAAATTCAGACAATTTACAAAACTCTCAATGGGAGAAAAGTGCAGTTCAGAAGTACATTTTGCTTTGACCTGAGAACAGCATAATATAGAACAAGAAAACACACAACTTACAGCAAGGCCATCCTTTGGAGTTCATAATAACAGCAAAAGTGAGTATCAGAAAGTTAATAATTCATTAACATTACAATAACACATATTTAGAGACATCATCACAGAGGTTTTCTATTTCTGGACTCGAGTCTTTAATTAGTGATGAGGAAGCAAATTAAGCTTCAAGTTCTGCTTTGAACAGTGCAAGGGATGGACTTTTATTTTGCCATTTACTTTTATGAATGTGGTATTTACCCATAATTATTATTATATTGCAGATTTTGAAAAATTTGTTTGGCATGTTGTAGTTACCGCATAACACTTGTTCCAATTTCAAATGTGCAACTGTATCTATTTTAATTTTCAACCAGTTTATTAAATCATGCCAAAAGGTTTTAATTATGTTACATGAAAAAAAAAGATGTTCAATTGTTTCCTCTTCTTGTGAGCAAAAAACACACGGCTCCACCTCGAAACCAAACCTCTTTTTCAGAATTGTTGCCGAAGGATAGCAACCATTGATTATTTTAAACTGCATTTCCTTAATTTTAGGGGAAATTGACCATTTCATAAATTTTACCCATTTGTTGGTTATTTTTTCATCACTATTATACATTTTTACAATTCTATCAATGTTATGAAATATTTGATCTTTGAATAATTTATTGATAAAATTGTTTTTACATTTCCTTTCAAGTAAAGAAACCTGGTTTAGCTGAATTTTGAGCAAGGTTATTGTTCCTTTAGAGTAATGTAGGTAACTTTGAATTAAATTTAGTAAAGCAATAGGTATTGCTTTGCAAACCTTTTGATACTCTCTATTTGAACTTTGAATGCCATATTTGGCTTTGAACTCAGGGAAGCTAAGAATTTGACCACGACTATCTAGTATGTCTGTGACAAAAATGATATCTTTCTTATACCAACTTCGAATGAATAAAGTTTTTCTGTTAGATGTAATAGCTCTATTATTCCACAAGGTGGAGCCACGTGGAGAAAAATTATGGGTAAACGCCATCTTCCAATAGTGAAGAATCTGTTTGTGGTGTTCAGACAATTTTACAGGCAATTTGGATATTTCAAAATCACATCTCAAAAGAAAATCCATTCCTCCCATTTTATCAAAAATACCTTTTGGGGTAGCAAACCATATAGAGTCAGGGTTACTTCAAAAAGATTTGATCCAATTAACACTGAAAACACCAACTATACATTTGAAGTCAATAGTTTTTAAACCTCCTTTATTATAATCTTTAAGAAGTTGTGATTTTTTAATATTTATTATATATTTATTGCGCCAAATGAATTGATATAGTATTCTATTTGTTTCTTTTAATATTTTGTGGGGTGATATATAGGGAATAGCTTGGATATATTAATTTGGAGATACCTTCTGATTTTGATAATAAGCTTCGACCAAACATAGTTAGATCTCTTGTTAACCAGTGATTGAGACTTTTTGTCATTTCTTCTATTTTTTCCTTAAAATTTTTTGGATTCTCTTGTTTTGACCTCTCTGGATAGTTGAATTCCTAAGTATTTAATTTCATTTTTTACAGGAATTGACTCAAGTTCATTATAATTACAATCATAAAGTGGAAACAGTTCACATTTTTTGAGGTTAAGACAAAGACCTGATGCTCGAGAGAACACTGAGATTACTTCTAAGGCTTTCTTGAGTATTGATTTATTTTTCAAAAAAATAACAGTATCATCAGCAAACTGACTTATTTTAAATTCAGTGTCAAACATTTTAATTCCTTCCAAATCTTGATTATTATTACGAGATAAGCCATTAGTTGTGTACAGAGAACAAATAGTTTGGGTTAAATTGGGCAACCTTGACGTATTCCACAAGAGACATTAATCCTTGGTGTGATGCCAGGATGTACAGGAACATAACTATAAATTTCATTATAAAACATTTTAATTATTTGGGCAAAATTTGTCACCAAAACCAAACATATGTAGTGATTGAAGTAAAAAATCATGCTCAATGGAATCAAATGCCTTGAAAAAATCAATAAACAATATTAAGTTTTCTGAGTTTGTAAGGGTGTGATAGTCTAACATATCTAAAATTAACCTAACATTGTTTTGTATAACTGTCCCTTTAATAAAAGCTGATTGAAATTCATCAACTAATTTACTCAAGACACC